TTACGAAAGAGTCTAACAACTTTTTTAATAAGCAAAACTCGGAATATTTTGATCCTTTTTGATAAAAGATTCATTGAGAGAGAAATATTTTATTTGCCTTCAGATAAATTATCACTAATCAACGATTGTGGTATAATGTGGACTAGGATATACATAATCTTCCCAGATAAAATAATTTATTTTGGCGTCATAAAATTATTTTTATATATATAGTATATTTCTTAAATACTAATTTATACTTTTTATTTTTTTATAAAAACAAGACATATTAGTATTGATTTTTTAAATTTAAATTTAATATTTTTTGGATTAATTAATGATGTTTAATATTGGAAATTTTAATTTTATACTTTTTAAATTACGCTCAAATTAATTATATATATTGTACATGACTTTATATAATTTTCATAAGTGTCTATTTTAAAGGGTTTAGTGAGTATTCTTTTAAATGACACAAATTATGTCCTTTTAATAGTTTTAACTATATATTTTCATAAATACACAGTTATAATATTAAAATTGTATTTTTTTTCCAAAAGCTATCTGCTGACAAGAAAAATGAAAAAAAATTACAACTATACATTCTTGAGAATATAAAATTAAAAATATTAAAAGGATATAAACTTATGTTATTTAAAAGACACTTCTTTCTCCCTATTTTTAATTTTATCTAAATTTCATAATATCTGCGTAATGTACAAAATTTTATTTGTTAATGATAACATTTACTGTTGCTCCTAATCTGCGAGTTCGTAACAAAATAAGCCAAGAAACCAATACCAACTGACTTTTGAAACCGACACCTCATCCTATTTCCCCGTTATTCGATCTGAAATATGATCTTTGCAAAATAAATAAAGCTAAAATCTTATTTTATTCTTAACGTTTTACTTATTTAAAAAAAGTATAAAGGACCGTATACTGACATGTATACTTTTGTATTCTATCATCTATAAATTTATATTATTTACGTTGGAAAGGCACATGGATGGTACAAGGCATATCCACATAGTAATATTGAAAAAATAATAAATTATAGATTAACTGTTTTTATATCAAATTTTAATTGTGTTATAAATTAATTGTTTGTACGGATCTGCGTTTAGTGTATTATTTTTCAAGATACAATTCGATATTTTTAAAGCATCCAGATCTCAAACTGTTTTTTGTTTTGGAGAATCCAGATCTTAAACTGTTTGTTGCACTGTTAGACACTATTGTCACACCATATACTATTTTAATCTATATTGTTAAATTATTTTTTAAATATTTTAATCTTTATAAGATACATATTACAGTAAGTTTACAAAAACTGATATTTTCATTATAGGTTAAAATTTATATTTTTATGTTCATATCATATTAATTTTATGCTACATTTTAATATATATATTTTATCAATATAAGAAGTATACAAGAATGAGTTTAATTATCGTCCTATAGCTAGCCTTAATTTTATAATTTGTCAAATTTATTTATAGATATCATATGTCGAATCATATATAAAAATCATTTTTGGATTGTAACTAAAACTCTTTTTTATAATTATTTTCAATAATAACTCGACCCCTAGTCCCCTACCATATATATTTTTGGAGAATTAAGTTTCCTTGCCAATTATAATTTGTAATTTTTTGGGCATACGATTATTCTTTTTGTGATTTGAGGTGTTTCTTTATTGTAATATCGTCAATTTCCACCTAAGATTTCAATATTATGATTTTATTTTTGCCCAAATTTCGAAGTGAACGAGATTTTTGTTGAGTATGGCTCATACTTCGCATGCTGATGACTGATGAGAGTCCTTGTTGTAGGGATCAGCAGAAAAGCAACTGAAGTTCCGCTCTCAGGTGAGCGGGCGGGGGTCCGGGGGAACGTCTCGACGGGGGTCCGGGCAGCGCCGCAAGGCTCATAGAGACTAGGTACTGTTGTCGGCCTCTGATTTATTGTAATTTTCTTAGTAGTTTGGGCTTGGGCACAAGAATAACTGCTGTTAGGATATTCTAATCCTATTTATATTTTCCTCGTAAACCGAGTGACTTGTAACGAGTGGCGGTGAGGAGAATGTAGTACAGACCTATGAAGCACCCACATTTCAAAAACCTTGACGTGTCGTGTCCGACACTTCCCGACACTCTCGGATACTCCGACACTCCCCGACACTCCAACACGCGTTATAGAAATTCAAAAAAAAGCTTTAAAGGTTGCGTTGCGTTGAGTTTTTAGTTCCAACTATTAAATTCATTGGATTACGATTACTATTTTATTGAGTTTAATATAAATATTTGGGATATCTTATGTTTCTTTGCAAAATTTATGAATATTATAATTTTAGATTCATTTTTTTTAAATTATTGAATATTAAATATAATATATACTACATAAATTAAAAATATTATTTAATATCAAAACGTGTCCTAACATATTGAAATCTAACATTTTTTAGAATTAACGTGTTGGAGTGTTGTGTCGTATCGTGTCACGTGTCCTGTGTCGGTATCAGTGCTACATAGGTACAGACAAGCTGGACGTAGCGTATATTGGGTGAATCAAGATATATTATCCTGACAATCTCTCTCTCTCTCTTTTTTCGATTTTGTATGATTGTCGATTTTCAACAAATTTTTTAATAATTAAGTAAACGAGCTTTTAACTGTATTTATACTTAATTTTTTCTGTTGAGTAAGTTTATAGTTAAAAAAGCTCTCAAAAGAGAAAAGAGTTAAGAAAAGCCGAAATGTTGAGCGATTAAAGTTTGGGAAACCGTTTTGTCCTTTTGAACGAGATAGGTTGTATTATTATTATTATTTTTTGGTAATAATAGGTTGTATTATTTTAATTGTTTATAACTATATATTTTTAAAAATATATAATTATAATATTAAAATTACACTTTTTTCTTTACTTTTCACGTCAATTAATAGGTTCTGAGAAAAAAAAAGTACTTTAATATTATAACTATGAGAAATGTGTTTGTCATGTTACAGAAGTTCTTACAATTATTTTTTAATTATGTTTAAAAAATAATTGTAGTAACTTCTGCAACATAAGAAAAATAAAATCCTATAACTATATATTCCTAGAGTAAATAGTTATAAGAAATTAAAATAACATAATTTATGTGCTTTAAAATAAGGACAGACTATTTTTTCTTAAAGTTTAAACTTTTTTTCCTTTATATGTTTTACAACTTCCATTGAGCTTTTTACTTTTTTCTTCCCCGTTAAATATCATTGTCTGTTGTTATTCAAATTGGCACGCCTTGTTCCAAGTCAATAGCCATTGTTTTCTATAGAAGCATATTCTAAAGATATTCTTATAATTTCGTGCTGGCAAGAATAAACTACTCTTTGAAAATCCAGAAGTCATTGTTTATATAATGTCTAAAATAGTAACGTGTACCAAAATACGCTTCCAAAAAATAAATAATATCATGTTTTAAATACATTAATATTACAAATAAGCAACCTAGATCACTTTACGTCTTTTATATGTATCCTATGAAAGTCAAGAAAATGAATAATAAATAGATAAAATGAGATGAAGTCACTTTCCCGATTCCCCCACTTTTATTTCTCGAAAAGCCTAGGATTTTACTTTCTAGTACCGCCAAATGGTGTTCCCCTGCTGAATCGCTGGGTGGCATGGTTCCCTACATTAAAACACCTGTTGGTTTTTTTTTTTGAGAAATATTTTGTTTTTCTTTTTTCTTCACCATAATCTGAAATACTCAGTGTTCATCGATGGTGTTGAGGAAAAAGTAAAATTGATGTGACTATATACAATTAAGCTATGTATCAATATAATCATATTCATTTCTAGTTGTTCCACTGATGGAAACATGGACGGAGGTAGCTGAGTTGATTTATGATCTCTTTCATAATTTATTTAACTTTTTATATGTTTTCTTGTTAGTAAATATCGGTTGTTGTCTATATATTCATTCGTATATATGAACATCTAAACATTAGAAAATTGTAACCGCATTCTGTGACCTTAGGATCGTATGTCTTTTTTCTTTTTCTTTTTTTTTGTAGACGGATCGTATGTCTTTAATTAACAACCCTTTTGCTGGATGAAGTCATTTGTTTTTTCAAGACTTTGCTCGAGTCTCTTTTTTATATAGATTACTCCTGTAGTTCGGGTCATGTCCCTTTTCTTTAAAAATAAATAAATAAATAAAATAATAATATATATTCATAAAACATTATAATATAGTTTTGTTAATCTTTTTATGAAAGTCTAATCATACATTTTAATAATTTTTATCTCAATAATAATTTGAAAATAAACAACGGATAATATTTTTTCAACATTATTTTTCATTTTAATATATAATTAAAAATTCTGTTAGTACAAAATTTAGCTTTTGTTTCATACATTTATATACATCTTTTACACAACAATTAAAAAATTACAATTCATAAATAATTAAAAAAAGACAGGACCATTTTCATATTCACGTAAATTATATTCTTAATGTTAGACGCTGATCCTAATTATTATAACGATTTTAATATATTAAATACGTGATAATACAAGCATAACAATTATTAAAATTCAATTGGGTGTAAGATTTCATAAAGATGATCATTCCCCTATTTAAAAATATTTTAAAATATAAACTTTAATTTATATTTCAATAAAATTTGTAATAGTTTAAAAAAGTTATGTACAGTTTTTTTATGTGCAAAACATGATTCCATAAATCTTTCTGGGAAGATCAACGTGGTAGGTATCCGTGCGTGACCAAGAAATGCTCGAAATTGACAAAGCCGAGACAGAAAGAGCTAAAGCAAAGGACGATGGTTCCGTGCGGTCTTGCTGTAAGATAATAACCCAAAACTAATTTTCACAGATTTTTTTCGAATCCGCTGCAACACCCCCAGTCCCCACACCCACCCTCCCCCAAATTCAATTGAAAAAATTGCTATTTTAAATGTTTTCCATCTCAACCCGTCTTTGTTCCGCAAACCCATTATATAATTCGTTATCCATATTCACGAAGGTACCCTTCCCTCGCATCTACAAATTGAGGCAATTAACAAGTCCAAGCCAAAACAACAACAACAACAAAATGGTGAAATGTAAAAAGTCATCTCTTGTTGCCTACCCTATCTTCCTCCTCCACACCCTATGCTTCCTTTTGTTCCCACAGCCCTTACTATCTAGCGAGCATCATTATGTTCGTCAGCTTGCTAAGCAGCTTATCATCACTCCCCACAAGGGCTCCGATACCGACCCTCAACAGGTTCACCATAAATCACCTCATTCATTTCATCCATACTTTTATTTTTATATATATATATTTATTTATAAATAAGTTCCAATAAAACTTCCATTTTATGTATATATATATATGAGATTGGTGTGTGTGTGTGTGTACAGGTGCACATTTCATTGGTGGGCCAAGACAAGATAAGAGTGTCGTGGATAACCGAAGACAAGAACGGAGAAACTTTGGTGGAGTATGGAACAAAGTCAGGGGTATATAAAGCAAAAGCAACGGGGAATGATACCTCGTACCAATATTTTTTTTACCACTCCGGCAAGATCCACAACGTTGTGATTGGGCCTGTGAAGCCAAGCACCACTTACTTCTACAGATGTGGAGGGTCGGGCCCCGAGTTTTCCTTCAAGACACCCCCACCCAAGTTGCCTATTGAATTTGTGGTCATTGGTGAGTTACGTTGCTTTTATTTTCTTTCGCTTCACGTTTTGATTTGCCCGTTGGATTTTAGTTTCAGTTTCATCTTCAAGTTTGTTCTTTTTTGTGTTATGATCGAGTTATATGACCCTTCGTATCAGATCGAGTCAAATTAGTTAGACTAGTTACGCGCAGTCGATGAGTGCTTTAAGCCAACGCAAAGGACGCTGTGGCACGGGATAAGGTCATAAGGATTAAAGGGTGCGTAAAAGGGTACCCCACTCGTTAGGAAGTTGCCAAACTTACCTAAAAAAATCATTTTTATTATAAACTCGTATCGTTCACAATCATTGCCACGTGGGTTACTTTTAATATTCTTATAAAAATGTGTGGAAAAATGTTGAGCCACACCTCGTGGTTCTTATATCTAATCAACAAAAGTACGGTACTGGGTGGGTAAAGCAGGCTGTGAACGACGAAAAAATAGTCGTGACTCGTGACACTTAATTGTGTGGAGTGTGGACCAACTAGAACTCTTGAAAAGGCTAGGACCAGCGTCAATCTTTTTTTTTTTCTCTTCTGAATCTTCAATTTATTGAAAATACACACAACGTTAATCATAGAAATTACTATCTACTAATGGGTTCGGTACATAATTTTTTTTTTATTCCAATTCAGGAATTTATATATCCTACAATAAAGATACATCCATTTCCGTTAGAAAAATAATAATAATAATTGTAGTAGGGTGGGTCAGTAGATTAAATATTTGTAATGATGTATGTATTATGGTGTGTAGGGGACTTGGGACAAACTGAAGATACTGCATCAACACTGCAACATGTTGACAGCAGCGACTACGATGTGTTCTTGTTACCAGGGGATCTATCCTATGCGGACACTCAACAACCTTTGTGGGACTCCTTCGGGCGTTTTGTGGAGCCATATGCTAGCAAAAGGCCATGGATGGTTACTGAAGGCAACCACGAGATTGAGATTTTCCCCATTATCTACCCTCACGGCTTCAAGGCCTACAATTCTCGTTGGCCTATGCCCTTCGAAGAGAGTGGTTCGACCTCAAATCTCTACTACTCATTCGAGGTTGCTGGCACCCACGTCATCATGCTCGGTTCCTACACTGATTTCGATGACAAATCAGATCAATACAAGTGGCTTCAATCTGACCTGGCCAATATTGATAGGGTGAAGACACCTTGGGTCATTGCGCTGTTGCATGCACCTTGGTATAATACTAATGACGCTCACAAAGGTGAAGGTGAAAGCATGAGAAAAGCCATGGAAGAGTTGCTTTATAACGCCCGTGTTGACTTGGTTTTTGCTGGCCATGTTCATGCATATGAACGCTTCGTATGTCATCATGATCTTGTCTTTAATCTTTTTAATTCATTCATTTCACTTTCACATTATTATTATTGGTTAATATGGTTTTTTTTTTTTTTTGTTCACAGACTCGAATTTACGACAACAAGGCTGATTCGTGTGGTCCAATGTATATAACGATTGGGGACGGTGGAAACCGTGAGGGACTTGCATTAAAGTAAGATAATGAGATACAATAAATTTTATTTTTTAATTTTTTTTATTTGTTTTTTCTATTTTCTATTGGGCCCTTGATATAATACTGCATATTTATTGTTGAGAATAGGTTTAAGGACCCTCCAAGCCCACTTTCGTTGTATCGAGAGCCAAGCTTTGGTCATGGAAGGTTGAGAATACTAAATGGAACAAATGCTCATTGGTCATGGCACCGCAACAATGACACTAATGCAGTTGTAGCTGATGATATTTGGATACAGAGTTTCAGCAGCTCGAAAGCATGCTCCAAGACACAAAACCATCAAGTTGCTCATGAAGAGCTGTAAAATTCAACTTGGAGCCATATTTATTGCTACTGTGAAAGAAAAGATCAAATAGTTTGCTGCAATTTGTGTTAGCCACTTAGCTTGTATCTTCAGCAACGATGACTAGTGTAACATATTATTCCACTTGCTATTTGCTAAGCACCGTACTTAGGTAGTTATGTGAATTATTTGTTACTAGTTGGTTGTGAATGATTGTTATTAGTTGCATATTATGTTTTATTGGTTGAGCTTGTATCATCTCTCTGATTGAAGTTCTACACTAGTATATATATAAAAGCCTGCTTCTATTTTTGTAAGATCATAATTCAGCTAATTAAGTAATAATAAACAGAACACTTGATTCTCTCAATTACATTTTTTCTGCAACTCGGCTTCTCTGATATGATATCAGTGCTCAATTGATATATACTGTGTTTGAATTCAACAGACTTTGGTTGTTGATTCAAATCCACACGTAAAATCAAGCTCAGGATTTTTCAGAGGACCCTTCTAACCCATATTATTTGCATCTAAATGAGAATCCAGCACTAGTGCTTGTTTGACCACACTACTGTCATTTGTCATAATAAAATTATCGTAGCTGGTGTACGTAGAGCAGTGAGGATAGCGTTGCTGTCACATGGATTTCATTGATGGAACACTACCTATACCAACAATTGCATATTCAGTTCATTATGTTTGGTGGGAAATATAACAACACTGAGGTTACTGATCTCTATCAAGGATGTGAAAAATTGGATCCTTCACTAATTAGATCAATAATAAATAGAACACTTTAATCAACTAATTTCTTCTTTTTTGTTTTTCAACTCAGTTCCCCCTTATGCATGTTTGTAAATTTTCTACCTAAAAAGGTTTTCAGCCAATAGTTTAAAAGGATTATCTGTGTCCCCCTCCTCCTCCTCCTCTGAATAGAAAGGGGATAGATATTGCATAACTACACCTCTACATTTTAATGGAATGGTTCTGGATTGGGACCTTGGATCGGACCGTTCTCCACCCTATTGCAAGAACAAAAGTCCCATCCCTAGTGTTGCATGACTCCCCACGTTTGCCACACACACACTCACGTGTAGAAGTGTTTTGTGCCATTCACACCTTTTAGAATCTACGCACATGTTCATTGGCATCTTACACTGTCGTGTTTCCCCTCTTTGAGCACCTTAGCACTATGCATATGAACTCACCACTGGTGGTGAAAGATCGCTGGGTTGGCCTTCGGGGGTTTAGAAGCTCGCCTATATTAAGTCAGACTCGACCTATTACATATAGCCAAATAGAACAAGTCCGAACTTTTAAATAAATCTATTTAAAATGTAGGCCATAGACTTTTTTTTACATACCGAATCTACAGGTCGGCCTATATCATATTATTTATTTTAAATTAAGCAAAATAATATTATTCATAATAGTACCAAATAGTGATTGTTCATTTAGTCCATGTGAGCTAAGTAGGTGGTGAAAGGACCTACGTTCAATTCCCCACCAATATTACCTTTGAGAGTGACATAAGATCTGTACCAATCTTTACATGCAGTAGCATCATAATCAACATTTAGTGCTAGAGTAAGAGTTATTGATGCCTATTGTTCTAACTTGGCTGAAGATACAATCCAGACTTTAATATATGGTGGAGATTGACTACGTAATAAGTATGGCTTGAAGAAAAAACAAAAGGTATAAAAAGGTTTTTTGTTTTTAATCTTTTTTTCTTCTTTTTATTTTTTAATCTTGTTTTTTGTTTTTATACCTTTACAAATTGTTTCTCAATTTCTGTAACCTTAGAATTGTATTTGCAAGGGAGAGAAGATAATGAGAAGTTTTTTGGCTACCAAGCATCATAATGCATTTGTTGGATTCATGAAATATTTTAATTTACATATTATGGATTGATTTGTTGGATCTGATGAAATACATGTTATTTAGTTTGAGCATCTTGTTTCTGAAAGTGACTTAAATACAAATTGTGATAAGTTGTTGTTGTGATTTATGATTTTATTTGAATGTTGAAATTGTGATTTTTGTTTTAACAACAAAATTTGAATATTTTCTGTAGTTGATTCATGTTCTTCTTAAAAGTTAAAAATTAACATACTAACATATTAGGTCGGGCCATTTGTTTTCCAGATTACAATTAGACTTATATTATATTATAGGGTCGGGTCAAATTCATATTTTTTTATATAAACTTTGACTTTTTAGGACAAAACTCGACTTAGGTTAGCCCACTTTGACGACTACTCACCACCCCTCTTCGTCCACTGTGCGTACGGTGATGAAAACTACCATATTGCATCCTATATGGACTAGGCGTCTAAGACTACTAAAGAGACTTGGTTCTGCGTATGTAAAAAAAAAGTTACTTATTTCTTCCTATACCAGTCGCTTTAACTTTATGCATACAATAACCCATCAATCCACCTTACTTGGCTAAATACTTCTGAAAAGGAATACAGTACAAAATTCATGTTTAAAAGAATGGACAAAACTTGTACGCAAGCATCGAAAATTCTAGTGAAGAATTTGAACAAGTTATCCTGTTAACATATAAAAATCATTAGACAGGGACTAAATTGCTATGTTACAAAATCTATGGGTTCACACATAATAATCAACATACAGGCTCTGACCTGTTATTTCAGCTCTTTGTCATGGTGTAGCGATGCATCGATAATTTTTAGTTGCATAACAGAAGCCTCCACCTTTGGGCCATAGTTTTGTCCAAATAAACATTATAAATTAGCATGATAGGACTCGACAAAATTCAGAGTTAGACAAAATTGGGCTCATGACCCAAAAGAAAAACACAACATTGGGCTGATCCCTGAATGAATCTGTGGGCAACTTAGGAAATGCAACTAGCAGAAACATGCCGCACCAAAAAGGAGAAACTAGCAGCATGTTAGAAAGTCGCTAATATATCCTAAAAAATTGTGTCATTTTAAGTGAGAGAAAAAGATAGATAAAAGAAAAAAAATAATGGATAAAAAAAAAGTGTAGATCCCAGAAATGACACAAGTTGTATCATTTAAAAGGACAAATATTTTTCTCTAATTTTATAATAAAGATCACTTGGGTTTTTTAATTTTATAATTTTATAAAAGAGAAATGTTATACTTATTACCTTTTTTCTTACTATCTCTTACTAGCAAATCTTAACCTTTGATTTTCGTCAATCTAACAATTTTTATTTATTGAAATTTAATAATTAATTAATAAATATGACCTAATAAATTATAACTCGACGAAAATCAATGATTAAAATTTAATAGTAAGAAGTGATAAAAAAAAAAATATAAACTTTATCTCATAGAATAACCGCTATATAATATGGTACAACGCGATTGAATTTAGCAATTTAGTAAGTTATTTAATATAGCGAGTGAGGCGCCCACAACGTTCCACTATAAATTTTTAAAATTATATTCGAGGTGTCAATTTTGACCGGTTCGTTATTTCATTTCAAACAAAAATCTAGAGCCTAGTGACAAGCGAAAACAATGAAAATAATAATTTCGCTTTCACACAAACTGAAAGCACTAAAAAAGATTCAACCTCCTGTATTAAAAAAAATAAAAATTCAACCCACTAGAATTTGCCATAGAAGATTAGAAGAAAATTAAACTGCAGTGCATTTTACATTTCCATCACCCCTCGATTTCTGAAAGTGGGTGGACCAAGAAATTTCAGTTCCGTCCAACAGAAGAAAATCCTTTTTTTTTTTTTTTTTTTAATACAAAGCAAAGCCAGCGACGTAAATATGATTGATTTATTCAACCTCTCCAGTCTCCAATGTCGTCATAATAGATAGGTTTTATACATCTCAATAAGCGGGGTCGCTCGATTCGTAACGAAGAGGCGCACCAAGGAGGGTCCTGATCAACTCACACAAATCACTTTACTCATCCAACGGTGCAGATTAAATCTTTTCCAGCTTGTCAGCTTTGATCATGGGATTCGCTCGAGCTATCTCCTCTCGCCCCACCGCCTTGAAATCGAACCCACACCCGTGTTTCTCCGGATACCTGTGGGCCCCGCAAAACGTGGTTCCACACCTGCACCTGAACCCGGTCAACCCGACCCGCTTTCTACACGTCCCGCACCGGTTCTGCTGAACCGGTACAGGTACAGCCGCGAAGAACGCGGAGCCCGATGCGGCAGGCGCGATCGCCGGCGAAGTCAACACCGGCGGTTGAGAGATGGATTCGACGGCCAGCGGCAGAGAAGAAGCCGCGGCGGCGGAGGCGGCGGAGGAGAGAGCGGTTTCGATGGTGGATTTGGTTTTGACTTGTTCTCGCTCCTTCAAACGCACGTTTCCGTAGCATTTGGAACAGAGATTCATGGTGGCTGGGCTACCGAAGAAGCCGCAGTTGTTGGCGCAGAGTCTGTGGCCTTCTTGAGCTTGGCATCGGTGCTCTTCCGCCATATGTGGATCTGTGCTTGCAGATGAAAGAACTCTCAACCTGCCGGAATTTTTAACAACAAAGATAACGTCACGCGATGTTTGCTGAATATCTATCTCAAGTGTTTGGATTCCAAGAAAATTCAAGGAATATTTGAGAAGCTGAATCTTGCAATATTTGTTTTTAAGTTAGAACAAAATAATCTATATAAATAGAAAATTACAGATTGCAAATTCAACAGAGGAGAGCCGAAAATAGGGGAATTTAGTTTCTTAATCGAAAATTTTAAATAGGTGGAAGAATATAATTTTTTGAAAAAAATAATAATAATAAAGAAGCAAGAAAAATAAACGTTATTACCTGATTGATAAGAAGAAGTGGTTGTGATTTGGGAAGGAGGAGATATCAGATAAGAATGGGAATGAAAGTGGAAAGAATCTTAACGGGGAAGGATTAAGACTCGGAGAGGATATGAGAGAGAAAGTGGAAGGGACGGCGAAACGAGACAAATCTGTATTAATCATGCTCAACTGGTCTTCTTAAACAAGATATTAATTAATATAATTAATATAATAAGCACTATGTTGAGACTTGAGAGTTGAGAGGAGAAAATTATGCATTATTATTAATTTTATGGGAAAAATGTGTATAATTTTGAAGGATGTAAAGTTGTGTCATTTTAAGAGAGAGAAAGAGATAGATAAAGGAGGAGAGAGAGTTGACAAAAAAAATAAAGTTGTGGGTCTCACCTCTTTGTGAGAGTGAAAGGATGTAAGTTGTGTAATTTAAATGTATAGACACTTTTCCCTAATTTTATTAATTAAAGTATTGAGTTATTTAAAATTTATACTATATATGAAAGAAAAAAATTAGACAGGCTGGCTGTGACGGCTATGCCGTGTGGTAGCGGCTGGGATAGTTTAACATATTAATTATCAATTTAATTAATTCTTATTTCTTGTCCCATGAAACGAGAGGGACATGGAAATTTATGAATTGAGAATTTTTTTTTTTCTTTGAATTTCGTCGGATGATAAATCAAGATAAGGGAAACAAAAAATAAAAAAATAAAAAGAGAGAGTGGGAGGGAGGGGAAGAAGGCGTGGCACCAAGTCAGGGTGTGTGAAGTTGGTGGGGTCGATCCTATCCTATGGTTCGATAGGAAATAGAAATATGACGTGGGATGAGGAAGAAAGGTTGGGTGGAAAGTATAAGAATTAACAAAATTATAACAGATTTTAAGTTTAATTAAATTATTTTGTACTTCATTAATATTTTTTCACAACAACAAAAATATTGAGATAAAAATAAAATAAAAGTAATTTCTATTTTTAAACTATTAAATAATTCAAACTAGATTAAAAATTGTAAAGTAATACTTATTTTAAAATAAAAGAAGAAATAACTTAGTGAGACAGGCTTGTCATTGACTATTGTGCTTAAGCTTTGAATTTTTTTTAGCAAATGTTAAATGAGTTTCCAGCGTAAAAGAGAGTTTGGTTCCACATATCAATAATGCTATGCGTGCACTCTCTTTTGGTTAATGGTTGTAATTGTTGGTCCCACACGACGAAGAAGAGGGTGAATTGAGTTTTATAAAAATAATTCATTAATTAAAATTAATTCAAAGCAATAAATTAAGATAAGGATAGAAAGATATTAACATAATAACTTTTACGTGAAAAACTCAAAAAGGAAGAAAAAAAAATCGAATACTGAAATTCGACGGGCAACTCCACTATAAAATTTATGTACAAAGAGTTCTTAGTATCCTAGTTTCTTAGTCTATCCCTTAAACAAATTCTCAAACTAGTATCCTAGTTTTTCAATACGAAATCCTAACCCTTTAAGATTCTGAAACCCTATCACACAAGGGTTCTCAAGTTACTCTCAATTTTCAAGAAAAAGAGACATGCAAGTATTCCAGTTTACCAGCACAAGTACTGATATCCAAATTTTCCAGTATAGACCTTCAAAAAGGTCAAGAAGAAAATTACAATTAAAGTATTTACCTTAGTGCTTCTTTTCCTTAAGCATATAGGTAATATGAATTCCTATGGTGAAATATTCACTTTGACAAATGATGAATGCATGAATGATTGTTCTTAAGAAAACTCTTCAATTAATGCACAAAAATGAATCTTAATCTTGAAAGTCTAACTATCTCTTTTCTTCTTGTATATTCTTCTTTCCTGTCTCTTGTATTTTTTTCCTCTTCATAATATGCAATAAGCCCTATTTATAATAATAACATCTTAATATATTATGCAATGCAATCCTAATCAAATCTATGACAAATAATATTTTATTTTTGTTATACGAAATCTAAAAAGATAAAATCTATCCTAATTTTTACTTGATTCCATGATTTTCTATCTCTTCATGATATCTTTCATATCTTCTCCAATCTTCATGCAATGTTCAATTATTTTGAATACTAATTCAAATCAGAATAAATCTTATTCTGAAATCTCAAACAATCAGCTCATTAGTAATTTCAAGATAATAAAATATTATCAATTAAATTAACATTAAATTGATTGTAATCATCAAAATATATTTTAAATCAATCAAACAATTGGATATAAAATATCCAACAGTAGTGACGGATTCCTTTCCGTAAACAGTATGACATCTAAGGGCATGTTTGGTGCATAGTATAGGATAAGGTCTGATAGTATAAGGTCTGATTGTATAAGACCTGATTGAATTTTAATACTATCCAGCGTTTGGCACGGTATTGTATAAAATAATATATTGTATAAGATAATATCATCTAGTATTTGGTAATGCACTGTATAATACTATATATGATAAAAATAAATATTTTTAATTAAAATATCCTTTAATAAAGAATTTATATAATTCTTCAAAAAATGTCATATGATATTAAATTTTATAAAAATTTATTGATCAGTGTGTCCAAAATATAAATTTTTTTATAAAAAAAATTCAATATTTTAAAAATTAATATATTGAAAAATTAATTTTTATTTTAATAAATTAATATTAAAATAATATATTAATTTTTGAGAATTATATTGGTCAACGATGATAAAACATCAATCTTTTATTAGGCCTTATCCCTCACCCTTAGGCCGGATTAAGTTATACATCGTTTTGATGTATTAAGGGATTATGCTGTATAAGCTTATACTATACGATGACCATATCAAACAACTTAAAATGTCATAATGTATAGTATAAACATAGGGTTTATTTTTTCTGCAGTAATCCCAATACGACGTCGTTTTGAGGCAGAATTCATGATATTTTTGTAATTTTAATTTATTTCAGGTTATAATAGTCTTTATATTTATAATTTTTTAAGATTTCAATACCAAAATGACGTC